GATAGCTTGAATAATATACCGTATAAGGATTTGTGAGGTGTATGAGGCTGCTTTTGACTTTATGAACTGGTTTCAAATGATCTGAACTGTACTTAATAATGTGATCCTGTTCACTGAGTTGAAATTGATTATTGTTCTGCCTGCAACCTAGCTTGCCAACCTTTAAAAGTGAGTACAGCATAACCCTAGGCTTTCTTTAATTCAGTTGGGTAACTTTTAAATGACTATGTATATTTTGTCTCTCTCTCCAATGCTTCCATGGTAGATCTGAACAGACCTGCCTCTTCATATGCACAGGGAGCAAGACCAAAAGATAATTCATTGAGCACTTTGAGGCTGAATACATCCATGAACCACCAGTTGCCTTCTGAACATGAGACATCTTTATTCTCTAGAGTCTCCAGCAGGAGCTCTTCAAGATCTAACTATTCTGCAAGGGAAATGGAACCTTCCCAAAGGAATATACAGCCAGAGTTTACCCACATTGCCATTAGAGATGAAATGCCTTCCCCAAGCAATACTGAAAGGGTTTTGTCTCAAAGGTCACTCAGCGAGCCTCCAGCAGATACTGAAGGAAGGCGTACAACCAGACAATTATTATCTCGTTTAGCTTCTAGTATGTCATCTACTTTTTTCTCACGAAGGTCTAGCCAAGACTCACTAAATACAAGATCTGATTCTGAAGATTCATGTGTTGTCCCAAGAGTTCAAACTGCTACTCAGTCTAGCACTAATGCAACTGCACGTCATGAAGTTCCGGGCATTCAGACACCTGAAGCTTCTCAGGGATTTAGCTTTCTTAGACGAAGATGGGGTTTATCAGGTGTTTCACAGAACCATAGTTCTGATTCAGATGTTGAAAGTTACAGACAAGAGTCTGAAAGTAGAAATACAGGATCCTGGTTATCATCATCTCTACGAAACAGATGTACACCTCTGTTCTCCAGAAGGCGGCGAGAAGGAAGAGATGAATCTGCAAGAACCTCTACCTCTGACACACCTGGTAGATCACTACACCTCTTTAGGAGAAGAGAGTCTAGCGAAGAGACTCAGCTTGAAGCACAGAGCAGCTCCTCTGGGGCTGCAGCCAGCACACCAGTACCTGCAGTGTCTAGCAGTCCTACAACTACTGCTTCCACACCAGATTCAGCTCACAGTATAAGAAATTCTGGCGTATCAGGAATTCTTCCTGGCTCTTTATTTCGTCTTGCAGTGCCCCCCTCATTAGGAAGCAGCCTATCTGACAACGTTATGATAACAGTAGATATTATTCCCTCAAGTTGGAATCAACCTGATGCAGAAGAAATTGACAAGTCTAAAATATTACCTTCAAGAGATCCTGAAAGACTCCAGAAAATTAAAGAGAGGTAAAACATAGCTGAATGGGTTAATAGACATAATGAAATTTTTCTTTAAAGTTATTTTGAGAGTTGCACCTCTGTTTTGTGCCACTTACATCACTATTATCTGCATACAAATTAGTTTTAATCTCCTTTTTCAGGTCTGAGAACTTTGTCAAAGTTTGGAAGAATTCTTTGTGTAGTAGCTTTCACAACTATTTGAAACAAATTCTTTCTTCCAACTCAGCCTCCTGTTAGAGGACACTGAAGAGGAGGAAGGTGACTTATGTAGAATCTGCCAGATGTCATCTACATCTCCTACCAATCTCTTAATAGAGCCATGCAAATGCACTGGAAGTCTGCAGTATGTTCACCAGGAATGTATGAAAAAATGGCTGCAGTCCAAGATTAATTCTGGTAAGGTAGACCTCTTTAGAACAAGGTCTTTTCCAGTTAAACAAAAGATGTGTTGTTGGGATGAAAGATGTTTGCAGTAAAAATCATACTATCCTGGAAGATATTTGTTAGATAGGCAAAACAAGTGGAGTCGAACCAAAAGAAGTATGGAAATTCTGAAAGGTATACCTCGTAATCTAAATGTTAAAACATCCCAAAATGCTTAGTAATTTCTTACTCAGAAATCAGGGATTGCTGGGATTTGCTATTAGTATGGTATAAATATAACTTTTAAAATTATAATGTATAAGGTGGCACAAGAAAAGTTATAAATGTTATAGAACCTTAGCATTCCTTAGTGGCATCAAAACTGCTCAAATGAGTGGCTTGTTTTAAGGAGTACTAACATTAAAACTGTATTGCTATTCTGAATAAATTGTTTAACTGCAGAACACATGAAAGTGAAAATTGGGAAAATCCACACCTCTTTAAAGCTGATATTTAGTCCAGAAAATCCATTCATTTAAAAATCATCATCACTTTCCATAGTTTTATGCTGCTGTTAGCTATTGGCATATCTATGCAGATAGCATTGAGATTAAAATTGGTTTTGCTGAGCTGTCATGAGGCATACAAGATATAAAACAAGTCAACTTTAATAGAAGAAAAAAGTCTGTTGCTACACCATAAGTAACAGATACGCACTACAGTGACTTTAACACTATTGTTTTCATGCTTCCTTTTTGCTTTATCTTGCTATGTAAAATAAAATTGACCCAATCATAACATCTAGCCTTGAATATATGATCTGATTGTCTTGTTTTGTTTCCATCAGGTTCTTCATTGGAAGCAGTAACTACCTGTGAGCTGTGTAAAGAGAAATTGCATCTTAATCTTGAAGATTTCGATATTCATGAACTCTATAGGGCACATGCAAATGAACAAGTTAGTATATTTTGCCTAATTTGGTAAGTGTCAGTCTAGTTCTGGAAGTTCAGCTTTTTTTTTTTTTTTTTTTTAAGGAAAGAAATTGATCAGATCCCATGCAAAAAATATAAATATATATAGGACGTATTTTCTCCCCTAAGAGGAACAAAAGAAATGAGAATTTGCTGCTGATTCTCAACATAATCCTTAATAGGTGTATAAGTTCTCTCCCTATAGTCTGTTTTGGCAAGTTCCTCTGCGTGATAACTCTGAAAAAGGCTATATGAACCTAGAAATACTGGCCTGAACCTTGAATCAAATTCTACATCAGGGTGGGGAGCCTCAGGCTCGGGGGCTAAATGCAGCCCCCGGCTTGCCTGGATCTGACCCTCGAGGCCCATGGGTCCCCCAAGCATTAGGGAGCCTGCACTGGCACTCCAGCCCCCCTGCTGCCCACGGCAAAGCTGGAGTATATAAAATCTGCTAGCTTGGGCACCCCCTAAGCTCTGGTATGCAAGGGGAGTGTCTTTCTGCTTCATAGTCAGGGGCCACTGTCAGTGAGGGTTTTTACTTTTTTTTTTTCTTTTCCTTCTCACTTGTTTCCGGCCCCCCGACTGATTTTTCTGTGGATCAGCAACTCCCGACTCAAAGGTTCACCATCACTATTCTACATGTATTCAAGATTATAGTGTACTTTTCTGTATACTTAAAGGTCTTTGCAGGCATGATACAACTTCACACTGACAAATTGAAAAATCTCCCTCTAAAATGTACTGCCCTTCTGTTTGCCCTACCCAGACAAAAATGGAGCCCTGAAATAGTCAGTCACTGCTTAAGGTATCCGCATATTTAATAAAGAACACTATCTTCCATTTTTTTTGGGGGGGGGAAGCCCATGTATTGTATTTTTCTACTAGACACATAGTATCATATAGATGGCTACTACGCAAATACAAAATTTTGTTCTGAGGATTTTCCTACGCTTTTATCATGATACTTGATTTGTAAATATAGTACATCCTCAGTTATGTAAATAATATGAATAAATTCAAGTAATTTAAGTTTCAGATAACCTGGAAATTTAAAGGTAATTGTTAAGACAGACCTGACTCAATTTTTGTATAATAAAGGAGTTGAAAGCTGAGGTTTGGATTATAGATTTGGATTATATGTACTCTGAATAAAATCTCAACCTGAACACGTATGTGGATGTCCAAGAAGGGGAAAAAAGGCACACAAACACCTTGTAACTAGCTCTAAGAATGCATTAACTTGGGCCAGATCATAAATCTTCTGCTTGCATTGGTGAGCAGATACTCACAGGACTGACTAGTCTGATCCACATCAATGCGATTACAACTGTAAGAAATTGCTCACTAGTGGGAGTAAGGGATTTGCTCTTTGTCCCTAAGGAATTGACTTCCTTTTCTTTTTTTTTTTTTTAAATACTGTTGCATCACTATTGTATGCAGTGTAGTTGTAGCTTTGTCATTCTAGGGAGATAGTATCTCTGATTGGACCAACTACTGTTAGTGAGAGAGACAGACAGACAAACTTGAAAGCTTTGTCTCTCTCATGGACAGAAGTTGGCGCCAGTAATTGCTACACTAGTCATTTCACGTGGTGTGTGGTGTAGTGTGTTTTTTTTTTTTTGTATTATGCTATTATTTTCTCTCCCATTAATCATTAACTATTGAAAGTTAGCTTTCCCTCCCCACCCATCCCCCACTTCCAATTACTGGATGAAGTTGCATACATTTTTCCTGTTATCTTTCAGTGGCTCCCCTCTTCAGTTACGAGAAGGGAGGTTAGAGGGCGTTTTGCTTTTTCTTTTCTAGCGCTGAAGTGAACCGATAGTTTGGGGATCTATAAAAAAGGCTGCTTATGCCATGAAAATCCCTGGTCCTCAAATCTTTGCCCCATTGACAAAGTCCCATTGACTTTAGTGGAAGTTCTTCTGTGAATAAAATCTATCTACATGTATGAGGCTACGTCTAGACTATGGGGTTTTTCCGGGATACCAGAGGTCCAGGGAAACTCGTAGGTGGTTCTGGCTTCTCTCTCTCTCTCTCTCTCTTTTTTTTTTTTTTTTTTTTTTTGCGGAAGAGCAGGTGTGCTCTTTTGGAAGCCCTGTTTTCCTCCTTCCATGAGGAAGAAGGGCGCATTCAAAAGACGAGGATTTTCCGATATTTGGCCCAGTGTACTTACCTTTTTCTGATAGATCAGTGTAGTATAGACATAGCCTAAGAGAAATAGTTATGATTTCATAATTATTTGGAGAACAGATCAGAAATTAAGTAGGAGATATTTTAAAGCCTCTGCGTCTATTCTTCTGCCTTGGTGTTACAGCTGAAACTTGGCAGTAGTATGCTTTTCAAATTAATTATACAAAGTTTGATTGTTTAATTTTTCTCCTGTCTCCATCAAGGCAGACTATGAATTTATCAGCTCTGGTCTCTACCTTGTAGTGTTGTTACACTTGTGTGAACAACGCTTTTCTGATATGCTGGGAACTGCAAGTGAGGCCAGCACGCGTGTCAGGGTGAGTATGTTTCTCATTTTGTGAGTGGCATTGCTTGTGTAAATATTCAGGTTGCTATCTGTTGGTGAGTTGTTACCTTGGTATGCTCAAAGTGTTATGCCTACAGCTCACTTCCTGTGTACTTTGTTTTATAAACCTCTAATGGAAACAAGATTTTAATTGGGCCTTTTCAGTGCTACCATAATACAAGTAGTGATGATGATGATGATGATAAAATCGTAGTTTCTGTCTTTGTGAGAACTGTATCATTTAATAAGTGTATTTTGTTAGCAAGATTAATGGTTATAACAAACAGGGTATAGACTATTTGGGAAGGGGAGGAGATGTCTGGTGTGATAATGAAAAAAGATTTGAGTTCAACAAATCAAAATGTAATTTCACACAAGTTTTAGAGGTGCAAATCTTAAATGTAAAACCTCTGATTACAGAATGTTCAATTGTACAAGATATACAAATACAAGTTCCAAATATCAGTCACAAATGTACTCAACCAATCTTAAAAATATTAGAGTACACAATTATGCTAGTGTCCCTTTTTATAATACTAGGGCCTGATTCCTGTTTGCAGTGTTGGCCCTTTATAGAATTTTACACTTCAGTATTACATTGTCGCTTGTCAATTTAGAATGCAATTCAAGAAATAACTAAAGGAAACTCTTATTAGTCTCATGATTGGATATTTATTCTTAAACTGGCTTATATTTAGGATCTAATAAATAATATACTAGTACCTCGGTATCATCAGAATATTTTTGACCAAAGTTTGATGCCTCAATCTAATTAGAGTGACTTGGTATCATATAATGAGAAGTTTTTTAGCAAATTTTTAAAAGAAGTAAAACCATAGAAAGTATGAACTAACTTTATGAAACCTTCAGATAATCAACACGTCCTTATCTATTTAGTTTTGCACCAGATATTACGTCTAGATTTAAATATTTGGGAGTAGGAAACTTATTGGTGCTAATCTTCTACTGCACAGGGTCATGACATATGGTGCCATATGTATAAAGTATAGTTATCACCAGGGCGCAACAAACTGTGGCAAGAGCTACTCGCCAGCCCGGCACTGCGCATGCACGCAGCCCGGTGAATGGGGCGCACGGAGCGACCAGCTGAAATCTACTCACCAAGGGCGAGTAGAAACAGTGGTTTGTTGAGCCTTGGTTATCGCTACAGCTTTCAACTTATGGTGTACTGAATGTGATTCTGAAGGCAGCTAGCATAATCAGTAAATTTTAATTGCTAAAAATCTACGTTAAGATTTTCAGCGAATCCATGGGATTTGTATGCTCCATTTTCATAAAAGCTAATAGAAAACTGGGGCATTCAACTCCCTCAGAGCTTTGAAAAATCTCTGCCCTAATCTTTTTAGTGTCCGGTATTAAATCTATAATTGACTTATTGTGTTTTTAAACCTTCTATTTATTATAGTCTGGATAGGTTCCTTAGTGTAGATTCTCTGATGATGGTCTAGTCAAACGGTTTTTACTTTCCCATAAAAATCCCACTATATTCAGATTAATGTAGATGAAACAAGTACAAGCAGTGAAGCCATTACTTTAACAATTTATATACCAAATTGTATTTTGTAACACTAGGAACTTTCCCATTTCCACAACTGACTCTTAAAATTAGGCATGTTTTGCAGAATATAGAGCATGAACACGACACCACTGACTTCACTGTCTGAATCCTTTCTGACACAGTGGAGATTTATACTTCCATTTGGAATTATACAATAGTCTGATACAATGTGTTTATTTTAAAATAACAAACATTGTACTGATGATTTATACTGATTAAGGGCATAAAGTGACTGATCTGTGGGAATGGCTTTGGGGTAAAGGCATAAAATGTATTTAGGTTATTTTTAAAGAGAAAAGCAAACCTTGTATACTAACTTGTTGCAAATTTCTGCAGATTATTTTGCAACATTTAAATTACTTTCTCTTTACCTTGTTTCTAGTTTATTAACCTTGCAAGAACTCTTCAGGCACATATGGAAGATATTGAAAGTAGGTGGCTTTTCCCTCCCCAGGTTCATTCAGTTTCACTTCAGGTTAAACCAACACAGGGAAACTAAACTGAAAATAATCCTTTTTCTCTAATACTGAACACCAGCGCTGTAGCTGGCTTTTGAGTTTAAATTCATAACACTGGAAGGATGTTAGTGCTGAATTGGTATCTAGATTAAGGACTCAAATTAACTTTTAAAAATGTTTGTAGCCTGTGGGGGAGTGGATGTATTTTTTTAGACCAATAGGTAATTAAAGCCTGTTTACAACAGTACAGAGATTCTTTACTCTAATAGATTAATCTGAATAAATAATCAGTTCTCCAACTGTAGTTTGTGGTCACTTGGCAATGACCTATAGACTACTATCCTTTTTATAGGGATTTTATTAGGGGAAAGCATCTTAAATGGCAATTGAGACTAGTCAAGTGATGCACATTCTCCCCCACTTCCCGCCCGAGCCTATACCTCTTGTCTGTCACTATCTGCTTTGGGGGGATACACATTGGCCAGTTGCAAGAACTGAGGGTACGTCTAAACTACGTTCTAATTTTGAAAAAGGATATGCAGAGGTTTTGAAAGTAAGTATTCTGACGTGGTTTTTTTCCAGAAAACCCTTTTAAAAAAAACCCACATAAACGTCATTTTTTTTTAAGGAAGATCTTCTTTTTGAAAAGGATTTTTAATTTTTTTTCCCAAAAAAACCAAACAAACCCATTGTTCAGACTCTTTTCACTTTTGAAAGATCCGCTTAGTGTAGTCTAGACATAGCCTGAGTGAAAAGTTTACCCAGCTGCTATATATTCACTCTTCTACCTAGTTCCTGTGCTTTGGGCTACACTGGCAAGTAGCCTGTATAGTTTTAATTTTAAACTTGCATGGATCTAAATGTTGTCTTTGCTGATTGCTATGTGTAAGTCATTGGAAGTATATTAATGACTACTTTAATTTGTCAACCTCAGTGTATTGAATTCCATCCATGAGATTAAGTGTTCAGCATACTAAAGTGATAGTTTTTTGCTTGTGCTGCAAGAAACAAATTCTGATTTAGTTTTATAAGCCTGAATGTATAACTTTATATAGACTACTCTAGTTATTAGTTTGTTTTTGTAAAAAAAAGATGTCCAGAATTTTTTTATAAAATAACTTATTCCTCATGTAGGTAGTTGTGTTCTTTTTGTAGTACAAATGAATTTTGGAATGAGCCTTATTTCTCCTGGAGTTTGATCTGCAGAGTATGACAGGTGATTTAACATTTGGCATAAACATTGAGTTTGGAAGTCTAAAGTTGTGCACTGAATATGCTCTCTCATCAGTCTTTACAAAATAATTCTGTTTTTGAGAAAGGGAAGACTTGAGCTCAGGCTTTCTTTCTTTTTCATTTATAGTTTGGCTGGGCACAATTCAAATTAAATTTGTAGTCATCGGTAAAAATGAAAAAAAGTCCATTGGTAATAGCTGTCTGTGAGCACAGCTTTCCCCACATCTTGTACCCACAGGGATTTGGCATCAGAGTATACAGAAAGCCCTTTCCAGCAGCTCTGCTTATTCACTATGGGTGGAAATGTGAAGGTTGTCTCTGAGAGGAAGTGTTCAGCAATGGGGTGACCTCCCCCCTCTTGCTCTGTTCCACCAGCACTACTGCCATTCCAGAGATCCACCCTCCACTTCCAGAGATCCAGCTTCCCCAGTAATGCAGGGAATGTGTAGCCCTGTTATGAAAAATGTATTAACCCTTTCCCTGTTATTTTATATTTTATCAAGATTTATTTTTTATTGACCTGTGAATTTGAAAACTATTCAGTAAAGTGCACAAGTGTGGGCTGTTATGCCTTTTTTGAAAGAATAGATTTTAAATATTTAAGTAAGTCATATCTCCTTTTATAATATAAAGGCTATGTAAACTATTCTGATTTAGTTTCCATGATCCTGAATGTATAAAGTCGGTCAAATCTTCCTGTTGCAAGTGAATGCAAGCAGGTGTATCCAAGATGCTTCAAAAATGTTTACACTGATAGTTTTCCATGCAGAGGATCCTAAACTATCCCGTTTTAGTATTAAAAAAAAAATCAGCAAGTTTATCTTAACATAGACTAATCAGTTTAGAGTACTGAACAGAAAGGAAAAGCTGACTATATAACTGTGTCACTCATCCACAAGGTGAGTGTACTTCTCTAGTGACTGATGTGATTCTTGTGTGTATACAAACATCATAAAGCACTTCATGACTAGGAATGTAAAATGCACTTCATGACTAGGAATGTAAAATGCATTGAAAATGTAATCACGTAACTGCTAAAAATCATAGCGGTTACATGTGTCGTGAGCTCTGCAGTATAAAGCTTAAATAAGCTCTGTACTGTGAAGAGTCCGTAGCAAATGCTCCCAGAGAGGAGGCTTCTCTGCTGCAAGGGCAGCTACCAGCCCTGATCCTGGGGCGCAGCCTTTGCTATGTCAGGGCTCATAAGGACTGCCAGCCCCACTCCTGGGGAGGCTTTAGATACATGACATTTTTATATCCCCACATCCACTACTGCTGGGATGTTTGCCACCATAAATAAGGGCCAGTTTATGGTCGGGCATAAGCAGGTGCAGGTGTTGGGAGATTTTTTTAGCTGGTGATTACATTTTTCTAAGAGCTTGCATTTCAGACTTGGAAAATCTTCCATTTTAACATGATTCGTGTAATAGATCATTCTGAATTTTGGTATTATAAATTGAAAAAACTCTATTATTCACATTTAAACTAAAAACCACTTTAATTCTACATTTTACAGACCTTTAAGAAGGCTTTTGATTGTACTGTATTCTTCCAACAGCTTCAGAGGATGATTCTGAGGATAGTGATGCTGGCAGAAGTTTTGACACTGCTTAATGCTGCAAGAAGCAAATGGAAGTGCTGCAAAGATGCTGAACTAGCAAGAAAGTACCATCAACATGCATTTATTCTTTGCTCTTTAGTAGGAAGCGCAATGAATATTTCAATAGTTTAAAAAGCATTGCTGAACTGAGTCTACTGCTGCATACCAGAACAGAAACAGTGAATTTGAAAACTATTTAAAGTGCACAAGCGTTAGATATACAATGCTGTATCCCCTTTGAGATGGGATGTTATGCCTTGTTTTGAAAAAAATAGATTTTAAATATTTAAGGAATCATATCTCCCTTTATATTAACTTCTTATTGTAGTCAGGTTGCTGGATTGGTCTATCAAGTTTTTCTCTTCTACTGGTAATTGTGTTTTGGGGTGGGGGAACTTATTTACTTATAGCATACATTTTCCATTTAAAAATGCTTATGTTGTTGTTTCTTATAATCACTTGCTTCCAGTGTTAACATAGGATGAATGGGTACTATAAAAACTACAGTGTTCAGTTTCCAAATTTTATTTGAAGAGTGTTAAACTCAACAGCAATAAGAACTTGCAAGGGGCTTCTAATATTTAAGTGTTAATGATGGCTTTTTAATGTACTTATTTGGAAATTTTAAGATTATATTTGATATTATGTGGATATTCCATTAAGGGAAATATTGCAGCTGTTCTCTC